GGCCCATTTAGGTTGCTGCTTGCAACTGTGTACTGGAGCTAGCTACTTTAAAGTTGGTTTGTATGAGGGACCCTGTGGGTCTTTGGTTTTCACTTTCTGAGCAGAGGTGTCAAAATGTCTAGGTTTAGATACCGTCAGTCTCTATCTTGATTTTTTTTCTCAGCTTGAATGGTTTCCCGGAGTAAAAGGTAGAAAGAAGATCTTGCTCTTAACTCCATCTGGAATTTCTGTTCTGCCCGGAAAAGCCAAGTGGTGTTGTGGTACTTGCTGTGGAGTGGATTTTGCTCTAGTAGTCTAAAGAGCTGCCAAGTCCTAAAGCATTAAAGTTGTATCTGTGCTTGGCTAGTCTGATTTTTCATCTCAGTGGAAGGACTAGCAAATACATATATATATATCTTCCAGCTTTCCCTTGCTTTCTAATACTGAGTCCATAATTCTTCTTCCAAAAAGGGAACCTGTCAGCAGCAACTATCTAGTAGCCATTGTGCTGTGTTTGAAACTTTCTGCCTGTGGGTCTGTATCCTGATGATACTGCCTTAATCGCTTCTTGCAGTAAGTTTGTGCTTGTCTTTGGAAGCTATGTTGCTTCTTGATTAATTGATGGGCATTTAGACCAGCACTCTTCCTATTATGGCAGACCTTGCGATGGAAATTCTTTGAAGAACCTTGCTTTAACCTCCCAGATGCTTAGCACTTCTTCATGGGGTTTATATCCATGTAGAAATGAATTTGCCAAGACAAATGAGTGCAGTTATTGACTGGAGCAGCCGTTACCTGCTGCTATTGAACAGTTAGGAGAGGGTTAAGAAGAAAACCTCTTCTGAGCCACAAGATTGGCCCTGACTAAGATGAATGTCTAATTCACTCCCAGCATCCTTACCTCTGCCAGTAATAAAAAGCTTGCTTCACATATTCACCCCACTGCAGACGTTTCTCTTAAATTAAATATCAAGAGGACATATAATAGCACGATTCCACGCCAAGCCAATATTATCAGATTGATGTCAGCAGTGATAATAGAAGAAGGATAAGTTGATGAGATTTCATTTATTAAATAAAGTAAAGGGAATACGCAGTGATAGAGAGGATTTGGTAACTCTTGGTGTGTCAAAATGCAGCAAGATCATGCTCGTTCTGTCTTACCTCAAGGGATAGAAGAGAGAAGCATGCCCTTTGTTTCATTTTAAGAAAACCTCTCCCTTCTTTTCCAGACAAAGACCTGATTTAAATTCCTCCATGGGAGGGGGAGAGGAAGATCTGAAATCATGGATTTCATGTGTACATAGCCTTCCTTCCCATTGAGCAGTGGTGAGGTGAAGGTTTCTTTCCTACTATGATGTGGGGGCCATTGCTGATGAGTTCTATTTCTAGATTCATCCTGTCCTTTTTTCCAGTTGTCATCTTTTCTCCTTTCCCCTTCCTTTAAACAGATGAGAGGGTGTGTTATTCATCTTTCATACTCTGTGTCCTGCATTTATTTCCAAGGTATTGTCAAAGCTCATCTCCCATACTTCCCTGTCTGCCCTCAGTTATTGTCCTCATCCCTCCCAGCCCAGCCTTTCTCTCTTGCCTTTTTCTTAGCTGCTGTAAATGAGCCTCTTACATCTGTTTTGATAATAGCAGTAGCAATCACAACCTGTTTTATTTTAGACAGAGGCTAATTGTCTACCTTATTTGGTGGTGGCATATTATGCTTAAAACTGTGACTCATTTTAGAAGAAAGGTCAAAGCATACTAGTCCTCTGCTTTTTGTGTATTCAAACCATGTTTCTTCCCCCATATTGTTTAAGAAATAACAATAAAAACCTTCAAACAATGAGATGCTTACTAAGAGCAGTGTAGTAGTGTCCAGAAAATGATTTTTTTTCTGAAGGTTAGTTAGTGCCAACAGCCTTGAGCTAGGCTAAGGTTGAAGGGAGATAGTTAACGAAGGTCCACCCCCTTCGGAAGTCAATGTGCCATTGACCTCCACAGTGATCTTTGTAGTTAGATGCTGCTGGTCTCCATCATATTTTTTATGTTTAATTCCTTTTCCTTTCAGATATGTACAAGTAAAGGCAGACAACTCTAAGGTGCAACTAGCTGTGTAAGGCTGTAGTTCACACTTATATGGAAATGTTACAGCCTGAATTTCAGAGACTTACTGTGAACAGGAGTGACATCCCTTTGAGTCGGGTGGGATAGGAGCAGTGTTTGCTGTGCTGGGAGGAAAGCCCTCAACCAGTTGTTCACCAAAGCAGTTCAGATACCCCTTTTCAGGCCAGATGGGTACCAGAACTAGTCTGCTGAATGTGGGTGACTTGTGTGCTCTCCAACTCTGCAGAATGTTCTTCCTTGTGGAAGAATACATTTACTTTTTGTCCCTGTGTTTCATAGATCACACTGCATGGTAGGGCTCAGTGACAGTTACTGTCCCAGCAGCACTAGCTTCCCCCTTCAAAATGAAATGTCATTCCCAAGGGGATTTAACTGGTTCTGATGAATTTCCAGTTCATTTGTAAATGCACTAATACGTTGGTTTGTGTAATTTTTATTGGTAATTACCGTAACCAGCTTTGTGTTTTGTCGATTACCTTCTCTAAATCTGTTTTCAGAAGCTGGTGCAACTGATGTATAACCAGAGTTTGAGATTTTATTTTGAAGAAATAAAGGAGAGTATTCTTCTTATGATTCTGGGTAGCTGGTATGCAATAAATCCTTTCTCTTGTGGGCAGCGTCCTGTAGGAATGTTGATTTAGGTACTTGCTGTGCAATGCATGTCATTCTGTGCTGGTTGATCCCTTGCCTCTGGTAGGCTTTAGGCAGCAACACTCACTCTTGTGGCTTCTCACTCACCGCTGTGTGGCTTTTAAATAGCCCTCTGCACTGTGGGCTGAGCACCAAGGGTGCTAAAGAAGAGGGCCACAGACTTTGCACTGCTGCGTGAACCCACAAATGGGCCCAGCTTTATGTTTATCCCAGGCAATGAAGAATGATGCTGTAGGAGGAACAGGCAGAAAAAAGGTGCAGCTCCTATAGCTCTCCATGCTGACAATGTCAACCTTGAGTGTTCTTCTAAATATTTCTGAGCTGTTTGTAACATACAGTTCAGTTCAGATGAATACGGACAGTTTTGTGGTGAGCTGTATCTTTTCGCTCTTCCAGCTCTCTGCGTGAAAATTGCAAAACGTCCTTCAGTTTAACGTGGCTGAGTTTCAAAAACCTAATTTTAAAAGTCTTAACTTTTTCAATGAAGTGAGGGATTTGGTGGTATTTCCTGACCTGGTATTGTTTGGTATCGTTTCCACAGTCTCACTGATTTGATTAGAGTGACATTAAAGTTAGTGACAAAGCAAAATGCCAACATTATGAGTTTCTGAAGCTCTCCCTGGGTTCTTCTCCGTTCCAGAATTTGAAGACTTTTTAGAATATGGATTTGTAGAGGCTTTAAAGGTGATTTGCTATAGAAATTAGAAATGCACACTAGCCCCTAGGGACCATGCATGGAGTAAGTTTCTTCTAAAAGCTGTAAGATTAGTGAAGAGGTGGAAGAAATCTGTATACTATCTTCAGTGGTTTCTGATCCAAATCTCAGAGTGTGGCTGCCATACTGTTAGCAGTAGAGTCTTAGTCTGCCCATGTATGTTGGCAGTAAGACTGAGGACTGAAGATGTATCATTTGGGATATGTCTCAGCCAAACTATTTTGAGGGATCAACCAGGTTGCTGATATGGAAAGGACAGAATCTTTTTTTCCTTCTTTTGGCCCTTTCACTTGCCTTCCTGAGCACCTTACAAAAATGAGCATGATTTGGAAACAATTATCTGAGCTCTTGAGAAGCTTTTAGATGATCTTGGCTGAAAAATTCATGTTTCTTAGAAAACTGTTCTACCTGAGAGAATGAGACATGCCTGGGAACAGGTCATGTTTTCTCTCTGCCTTGCTATGAAGCACTGTTGCTGAATGTTGCCTGTTGGTGTTACTGTGGAAATAGTACATCAAAGCATGGCATTAATGCCTGCCTGTGGCATCAAGTGCTTTGGAAGAAAGAGGTGCATTTGGGCACAGATCTCTCTAAGTGTTTTGGGGCAGAAAATGCAAGGAATTAAATGGTTTAGGAGGAGGTTTGGAGGACAAAATACAAGGAATCTATGGTTTAGGAGGCAGCATCTGAGGGTTGCTACACCTCAGCATATGTTCTCTGGTAAAGCAAACCATGGCAATTGTGCTGCATATCCCTGCAATCTGTGTCTGCCTGTCTGTGCAGCTGATGACACCGTCGTTACTGTGCTGGTATTGTTTTACAACGACCTTCCCCTTTATTGGTACTGTTGCTGATGATGTGCCATATGTACACATGCACATTAGAGTATAAGAACATCATCCCTAATTGTTCTTGGGTAGCTGTCAATGCCATTTGCAGGGTATGAGTACTAATTGCTTCAGAAATACAAAGAAACAGATATCTGGTCTTGCTATTATTCTGTTTTTTCTAGTCACTAGGAGAATTGCAGTGCTTCTAACCATACTGGATTTTTTTATAAAGTGTTTAAATAGATAAGAATTCAATAGATGGTGGCAGCTTATTCAACAAGTCAGTTCAGTTCCTTGTCAGACTGTTACAGATCTTGCTCAGGCCCAGCCAGGATTCCTGAGTTTTGCCAAAGGTTTCCAATGTGACCGGGAGAAATCATTGAACCTCATGGAATTTATTAATTTTATTTTTATTTTTTCTTTTTCTTCTGACTGCAGAGGAGAGGTGATGTTTTATCTAAGGGTAAACCAGCCTTCCACACCAATCTAGAAAGAGCCTCTTCCTTTTTTCTGCTAAGTACCCTGGATTTTTCAGCTGAAAGATGCTGCTGGTCATTTGACCCACTTTGGTGATTGCTGCTCCCACCAGTTTCTTCTATTAGAACTAGATGACTCCAGCACAAAATTAGTACTTGTATCACTGGTGAGGTGGTAGTAAGTGAGTGAAAATTCCTCTCCACATGTTTCTGTGCTTGTTTTCCCTACAGGAGGAGGAACACTGATCCTGTCTGTGCAAGCCTGCAGTCTGAGATTCTGAAGTGCTACCAAGAAAACAAACATGAAGTGCTGAAATGCTCGGAGCTGGCTAAGGAATATCAGCGCTGTGTTAGTGCGGCTCAGAAGGTAACAAAAGCTTCCCTTTTGTACTTGCTGGCTTTGCTGTCTTGTTTTGCATGGCATTTTCTTCTGGGAAGTATTTCTGAGACCTGTGGTATCTATTAGCGAAATTGCAATGTTCCTCGGAGACAGTTTTTCTTTGAGATTCGTTTTCCCACATGCATTCCACATATTGCAGTCACACTGTGGTACATCCTGGCTTTGCTCCCATCAGTGGGTCCTATTACACTGAGCTGCCACCAAAACTGTAGGACTGATGCTCCTAGGTTTCAAAGTCAGTGTGATTATTTCCCCAGTTTTTACCTGCTCGGATGCCATATTTTGCAAATGGTAGGCAAATCCATTTTGCCAACGTTGACAACATTTTGTGTGGGCTCCAAATATCCTCCTGTGATGGGACTTCACAGGTGCAGGTCTTGCTTCCTTTTGTTGCTGCATGAGGAGAGCTTCTTTATTGGGCAAAGCTGCTGCCTGTTAAGAAAATTCCATCATCTTTGGGGGAGGGGGGGAGGAGGGTGTGTGCTTCATCATCTTCCTTATGAAATGCAGAGCCCTAGTAGATTCTGTTGATGCCTTGGGACAGCAGCTGCTCAGTACTTTGGAAGAACTTCTGGTTGTTGAAACCAGTGAAGGAGAAAGTGAAAGTATTTGGACATTACAACTAGGATATGTTCTTGGGAAAAGTAAGCACTAAGACATATCCTGCTGCTTAGCATGTCTGTAGTGTAAAGGATGCCGTTCCCCACATGTGAATTCAGTGGTCCACGTGTCCCTCCAGGGCAGGCATTCCCTTTTCTTAGCAGGGCAGAAATTCTCCAAAAGGTGCTGACACTTTAGTAAGGTGGATTTGAGGAAAAGGATGGAGCCTTCTGAGAATAGAAAACTGAGACTCTTCAAATGGGATCGCTAATGCAAAGGGTGGGGAAAAGGTGGAGATTTCATAGGAGCAGTCTTTCTCTGTCACATTAGCATTGTGAGGGGAAGCTGTATGCCTGATTTAAGTATAACATGAAACAAGCTGCCAGCCGGCTCCCAGAAGAAGCCCGACAGAAGGAGATGGGAAAATTGTCAGGATATATTAGACCAAATGTTGTTGCTAGTCCTAGTGGAATTTTTTTTCTTCCTGTTTACAAAGAAGGTCTTTGTATGTCTGCAAATCAGCAAGGTTAAAGCTGCCAGGGAAAGGGCTTTTCTCTGATATCTTTAAAGTCCCCAGCTCCCAAAACGTGTGGTTTCTTTTTTCCTCAGCTTTAAAGCGAAGCGGTGCCTGTGCCGCTGCCGCACAGCCCGTGTCCTCCGTGGCTCTGCGCAGAGCACCGCGCCGCTCTTGCCAGCCTCCCTTACCTCATGCTTCCTCCTTGCCTCCTGGAAATCACGCTTGTAGCCTTTTCAGGGGAGTATATCTTTAGCAAATGCTTTTACCAATACATCTTTATTGCATGCGGTGCGGGCGGAATGTGATTACCAAAGAAGACAGATTGCATTAAACTTCAGCATATTTGCAAGCTGCGGCTCCAGCCCGCCTGAGAAAGGGGCTGGGAAGCTGCCAGCCCTGAGCCCCAGCCCAGCCTTATTGGAGTCAACGGGAAGCTCCAGGACTGCTGACAGCAGAGGGCAGTGGAAGATCCTGTTAACTTGGATCTTTTTTTGGATATGTGTGGTGGTGAGGTTTTTGTTAGGTTTTCTTCATAAACCAAAAATTGGAGGTCCTCTTAGATCCCAGAGTGCTCTGTGAAGTTCAGAAGTTGTTTTCCCCACTGTTTACAGAAACTTCTGGAAGGAGCGATGCATAGGACATGAATTTGCTGTGGATGATGACAATGTGGTAGAAAATATCCTTGCTCTGTTTTAAGAAGTGATGAGAAATACAAAGGATTAGGTGACTAAACTTTGCAGCTAGATGCGGGTGCTGGAGGGTTCTGCAAGTACAAACTCAACTAAAACTTGTGTAAGGCTAGTCTGTAGTTCCCTTTCTCCCAGGACAGCTCAAGCCCTGCCATTTGCCTCACTGCTCTTACCGAGTACTCTGGCTCCTGAGATATAAGTAACAATTGCAGTCTGTTGTGTTTTTTCCATGAAGGAGTAAAGCTCCCTCCTCCCTTTCCCTTTTAAACTGTTATTTTTCTTTAAGTTTAAATTAGCATCTTATACCAAATGGCTTTGTCTCACTCATTCCTCATGCAGGAAATTCAGGTTGGAGGAATGTGGGAAAGAGAGGCCAAAATGTCTTGATTTCTCTTTTTTTTTTTTTTCCCCCTCTTTTTTTTAAACCACAATTTGTTTTCCAGTACAGGAGGTTGTAATCAAAGCTGGATGTGTGATTTCAGCTCACTTGGACGCTCGTGATTTGTTCTTCTGCTTTTTACTAAAGGTTTTATAAGGCTTGGTGAATATTCTTTAATGAAGCATCTGGTTCTCTGCAAGTTCTTTTTGATGGCTGGTAAAAATGTCTCCAGGGCATGGTATACATTAGACTAGGAGAAAGCAACCTCTAGATTTCTAGAGTGAAAATTATAGCTTACAGTGGATGAGAATCTTCCCCCTCACTGTGTTGGTTTGAGACTGTTCCTTTGGCCTCTCGTTTCCCTTTGCCTATTGCTGTGCACGTCTCATCCCTGAGCCAGGAGCTGAGATGCACCCTCAGTTACTTCTGCCCCACAGACAAATAGATCAGGTAATCATTTAATGAGTTGTGAGATTTATTTTCTACTTATTTCCTGTACAGGCCCTCTTACTGGAACAGGTTCCTTTATTGTAGTGCATGGTAGGGGTATTACTGGCATTATGTGTTTTATACATTTTCTGGCCATCAGGGCTGCTTCTGTAGGCAAGGGAGACAAACAGATACCACTAGAGCATGACGTATCTGATCCTAAAACAGTCATCTGAAACAGGTCAGCTGATCTGCCATCTGCAAGCAAGGATTTCTCTCTGCTGCTTGGGAGGCACATCCAGACTTAAAATAATCCAAAGTTAATGCCTGTAGTAGGATGTTCACAGAGTAATGGGAGCAGGGCCCTGATAGCTCTTTGTGGCTAGTATGCTCTCAGCTTGCCCTGCCTGATCTGCTCACTGATTTTGCTGTTGATACCATTCTGAATGTTAAGTTTTGGTAGTGTGTCATTGGCTTGCAGCAGCATCAGCCCACTTAGGCTCGGGGTTGTTTGCTGTGCCCTGTGCTTTGCTTATGTGGAAGTTCTCTGACTTTAGAGTATGTTGCTGTAATGTCTCCTGTTTAATTTAGGAGTGTTTTATCTTTTCTGGTGGTCTGTTTTCATGGCTCTGTGGAACTTCAGCTGCAGCATCAAAATCACTGGCTTTAAATCTAATAAAAGCTGGGATAATGGGACAACTGTGGGAGGGGTAGTTCCCATTGTGTCTCTTAAAATTGCCTGTGGTTTATTGACCGCAAGTTTCACCAAGAGTTACTGCTGCTGTTAGATAATGAGAGCTGAAAATTGTTGCTGCTGTTCTCCAAGGTTTTATGTCGTGCCAATGAGGAGAGGATGTGTAAGGAAGAGGAGAGTGGACAGTGGAAATGTGCATATTTTCTTACTTTGAGTCCAGATGGAAGGAAAAAACAAATTTTGTTGTTGGTTTTTACAGAGTCCTATTAGTGAATTGCTGCCCTCCCTCTGCAAGTACATGCTCACGTGCAAGCTTTTCAGAATATTTGTGACCTGTTCTGCTTCCCTTATGTCCTGTTCACACCAGTTAGGCAAATCTGAATTTCCACTGAATTTTAGTTGGTTAATTTGTTACATAGTGGTTGGTTTTACCATGGAATCTCTGACCAGCTGCCACTTGAAAAACGCGGCCTCTGGTGACCATATATTAACGTGAGTTGAGATTTCAAACAGAACCTGCTTCTTGCAACTGTGTGCAGAAAAACACCTGCTAGTGAAGAGCATGCATCCCTTTCTTTCCAAGTGTTTTCTTCCTGTCTCTAGGTGCCTGTCTTTCACAGAAGGACCAAGGTGAAATTTTTGCTCTCTAGCTCCTGGCTAAACCAAGCTATAAAGAGCTGCAGACTCAGACACGTGTATTCCCTTGTCAATAGGAGCTGTATACATTGAGCTAGGAGCCATTCATAATTCCAGTGCTCTTTCTCCCTGTTCTGCGTCCAGCTTCTCACGAGTCTGCTATTCATAACAGACAAAGGTAAACCTGCTTCTCTCAAGGCTTTAGGGCTTTTCTGTATGAGGAAATTACAATGCAATAAACTGGTGGGTGCATTCATGGTACAGCAGCTTCTCTATATATGAACGTTCTGGGTTTGTAGTAGAAGTGCAGGGGAAATTCACAGTCATTTACTGTGAGTCACTCTGCTATGCAAACAAGCCCTTGCAGAACACTGATGGACTGGATTCCAGCAGAGGCAGACTTGTAACATAACGTTGAGTCGACTGCATTCTCCTCTGCCCTTGACTGTGATTAAAAAGGAATGTGGTCAGTTTACTGCACCTCCTTTTCCAAGTGACCCCTGTGAAAGCCCAGTTCCCATTTGGTGCACTCAGAAGAGCACTGCAGCTCTGCTGGATGCTTCTCTGTAATCTGTGGGCGATGACCTAGATTGCTGAGATGCCACCACAGGTAGGTGCAGTGTCCTATCCTGATGGAGCAGTTCCACTCAAGCATGTTGGATCCCGCTGAAGCATGGACTGCTGGGAGCTGTCATCTCCACAACCTGAGTCTGTCTCTGCTTAAGAGAAACAGCTTTGGGATGGGTTGGATGCCACAGACTGCACTGCAGGTATCTCTGATCATTCTGGATCATTAGGCTCTTGTTAAAGAGTTGTTTCCATTCTGATGGATTGCAGAGTGCTTTATAAATTGGTTGTGTTACTGGGGTAGAGAGTAGCAGCCAGTCTCTGTGGACTGGGGGAAGTAAGCTTTGGCCAGATATAGTGTGGTCCATGTCTGTACTTGAGATGTACCAGGATTTCACCTGGTTCTGCAGAGGTAGATCCTAGGTGTTGAACTCTCATTGAGGAGTTATAAGTCAC